GGCAGGCCTTCAATACGTCTGGAATGTTTTAATCCATGCCCGAGCCCTGTCCTCCCTCCCTTCCTGGCTCGCCACCCTCCGTTCCCTCCTCCACGGCGAGGGCAACGGCGGGAGGGAGGGCGGGAGGGAGGGGCGGGAGGGAGGCTTTGTCGGGACAATGCGGACTCTGGACACTTTTGTATTTCGCGGACGACCCAGACGGACGCGCCGCCGGCTTAGACTGCCTCTTGCTATGCCCCTATCCCTCCACGCGCCTCGCCCTTGTCAGTCTCATTGTCGAGGCGATTCCCCACGTGGACAAGACCGGTCTGTTGGCGGTGAGGGAGGGCTCGGGGGAGGGCGGGAGCGAGGACGGGCTCGCGCATCCTTTGGCACGACTCCTGGGCTTGTACTTGGTGGTGGTGACCGAGGCGGCTGGGGTGGACGGTCGTGACTTCTTCGCGTCTCGGTGGGAGGGAAAAAGCATAACCGGAGGGGCGCCGCTTGGGCCCAGCTCCTGGCTCACGGGCGATGCCGGAGCGCAGGGGGAAGGAGGGAGTGAAGGAGGGATGGAGATGGGGGCCATGCCCTCGATCACGCCCGAAGTCCTCTTGCTCCTGGTGGAAGCAGCCGGGCAGGGACCAGACTTGCGCGCATTGCTCCGCACTCTGGGTGGCATCGCCCGTGTGGCCGCCCTGGTTGTATCCTTGAACGGCGGGGACAATGCGCATTTGTTCACCCGTCCCAATCTCTTGGTCCGGGGCCAAGGCATCCTTTCGCTCTCGCTGCGGTTGCTGGGAATGCTGGTCGCTGAGGCCTTGCCAGAGGATTTGCAGAGACCCTCCCACCTCCGGGTACTCTCCTCCCGACGTTTTGTGGAGTTGGCAGCCACCCTCCACCCTGACTTCACCTCCGAAATCCTCGCCAAACTGACCACCGTGCCCTCCCTCCCCTCCTCCTTCCCTTCCTCCCTCTCCCCCCGCCCGTCCTCGGATGGCCAGGGGGTCCGTATCGCCATCGCCGACGTCGTTGGCGTGCTCGTGGACAGGACCAGGGAAGCCGCGGCGCTTCAGCCCCAGGCACCTTCCCACCCTCCCCCATCCCGCAGTTCCGTTTCCCTCCTCAGCTACCCACAGAGCCTCGTTGTCCCCGGTGCCCGACCTCTTTTGCGTGTTTTGGAGGCAGTGCTGGGTCCGAAGCAGGGGCGGGGAAGGGAGGGAGGGCGGGAAAACGCAGAGGTGGAGCAATGGCGGCTAGAGCTCTCCATGCCTTTGATCCATCAGTGCAGTGCGGTGTTGAGGCGAGTTGCCGAAGGAAGGCGAGGGGGAGGACGAGGGATAGGGAGGGGAGCAGGGGGAGGGGCCTCCCATGAATTGTCAGAGGGAGAAATGGACTTGATATGGCAAGTCACTCGGCTCTACTTTGCACTGGCAGCACGCTCTCCCGTGGCCACTGCCTTCATGGCCGCTAAAGTGGGTGCGACGATGACGGAATGGAGGAAGATCATCAAAGGGATGACGCCAAGGGCGACCAAAAGGCGGTAAGCCAGCGTGTCACCCCTCAGCAAACCTTCGCACCGGAGATCATCGCGGGACGATGGCTATCCGAAGGACAGCGCATCTCTGGCAGCAGAACACGGACAGGTGGGCGGTTACGGAGTGGTCGATTTCGAAAATTGAGGAATAGGAAGCGCCGCAATTCACACTGACGACTGGATGTTGAATCAAAGTAATTTTCCCCACAACGCCTGAAGGCCGACACCTCGGCGCAAAGTCGGTTGCGAATAATTTAATGGAAGGACACTGTACAATGTCTTGGGGAGATTTGCATGCGACGGGTCTTTACCATGTTGCGTGTCAATCCATAAAAGGCCAATGCCGACACGAAATAAAATCAGCTAACTTGGCAGTCACTTAATCCAGTGACATGACTCTCCTCATCGCAGCACACCCCTCTGTGCTTTATTTACGACATATCGGACCACTGCATTCATCAAAACCCTACCCATATCTACATCATCCTTCCTTTCACACTCTAAATGTGCACGTTTCTCTACTTGCATTGGAGTGTGTACAACACAAAGGCTGGCTATTTTGCTCTCGCATTTCTTCCTAGAGAGCAAGCGTTGCCATAGTTCATTTTCCAGGCAGCCACCAGGAGGACAAGTGCAAGGGCGCTACTCTTTCGGAAACCCTTGCTGTTGAAGTTTCCATCCCGTCGTTCGTCCGTATTCGTAGACCCCGTTCAAGACCTGCGCCAGTTTCCCTTCTTTCTTTGCCTCTTCCCATTTCTGGTAGAGTCGCACCGCTGTCCGTGCGTCCTCGATCGAATCGTGCGTTTCCCCCTGGATGCTCTCCCCCAACAGATAGGCCGCAAGAAAGCGCAGAGAGATCTTCCGCTGCCCTTCCAAGCACCACAAATCCACCGTGTCGATCACTTGCGCCGGCGGCACATACACATTGATGATCCGAAAATCTTTTTTAAGCCCATGACCAACCAATATCACGCCCCGATCAATCAGGCACCGAAGCTTCAAGTAGGCCGTGCGGGCGGTCACCAAGTGGTGGCGGGAGAGGGAAGGGTCCAAATCCTCCCGCACGATGCCCGAAAACCGCGTCAGATAATCCATGACTGGTTCTGACGGAAGGACATAGTCGTCCACCATAACCTGATCGCTGCGAACGTCCAGAAGGGACAGGCGCGCCAAGGCCTGCCGACCCTCTTTGAATACAACCCTCGCCCCCGTTTCCAACACGGACGCGGTCTCCATTTCCAACTGCACGAATTCGGCGTCGATGCCCACCAAATCGCCCCGTCCAGGCAATGCTTCCGGGGTCAAGGGCGTGAACGTTGGGGGTAAGGGGGTGGCGGTGGAGCGGGACGGGGAGGCGAAGATGGAGACGGGGATGGAGGGAGGAAGGGTGCCGACGGCAAGCCCACCGGCGCCAGAGGCATCTGCGGAGCTGTCGTTCTCTCCTTTTTCCTCGCCAACTTCCCGCTTTCCACCCCCAGCCACCCTCGCGCCGGCGGCCCGGAGCTGCTCGAGCCAGGCCGCGTGGGCGGCGGCCGTGCTTGTTCGGTCCCGATAGAGGAGGATACAAGGTTCCTTCCAGGCGGGTAGGAAACCCAGCGCGTCCTCCAAAATCGTGGGTTCGACCAGGAAATCGTTGACAATGTACCACTGCCACTCAGGATCGCTTCCCCTCCCGTCCTCCCCTCCGCCCCCTTCCACCCCCTCCATCGGCACCTTCACGTGCAACAGTAAATGCCCCTCAGTCACATTCGTATCGGACTTTCCCACCGTAGACGCCCCGACACGCCCGCCCCCCTTCTTTTCCTCCCCCCCCCTTCCTTGCACAAAGGAGACGAGCGACACCAACTCGTACTCTTTCTCCACCACCTCTTTCTCCTCCGTTCCCACATCTTGGAGCTCTTCTGCCCATTTCACCGTTTTTCCATCCGAGGTACCCACCCAAAATTCCTCCTTCACTTTCTCCCCCCCGCCCTCCTCTCCTCCCTCCTTCCCTCCCTCCCCCCCGCGCTCAGGGTCCACCACCTGCTCCCACACCACCACCTGCCCCCCCCCCGCTCCTTTCTTTCTCCCCCCCTTCCCTCCCGCCCGAATGCGTACCCGTTCTGGCAACCAAGGTCCCCCCAAAGGATTTAATTGGTGCCAAATCCGGCGGGCCACCCCCGCGCCTGTCCCCACCGTCACCCCCGCGTGGCATGCGAGCACGGTGGGCAACGAAGCTATTTTTCGCTCCTGTTTGAGGGGCTCGTAGCTCTTGCTCGCGTCGCACCAGCCCCGCGACCGGCTCTCGCGACGGAGGGAAGCATGGAGGACTTGGGAAAAGGTAGGGAGGGGGGGAGGGAGGGGGGAAGGGCCCCCAGTCGTCGCCGTGACAGCTGCGTTCCTGGAGGTCAGGGCTGAGGTCAATCGCTCTCGCTTGCTCGGAACTGCTTCGGTGCCCAGGGAGAGGGGGGGCGGCGAGGACGTGGCAGGGGGCGGGAGGGAGGAAGGGGAGGAGGAAGGGGAGCCACCGGCTCCGCGGGCGAGGCTGCGTGGATGGACGAGTTCCAAGATAAAAGAGCGAGTGGTGAGCGTGACAGGGGGAAGGCCGGGAGGGTGGAGGAAAGTGTTGGTGGTGTGGACGGTGTAGCCGTACAAGGCATCCACCACGCTCTCCTCCCGCCCTCCCTCGTGCCCTCCCTCCACCGACCCCTCCTTCCCGCCCTCAGCCCCTGCCCCCTCCCTCATTCGCCACCCCCTTCTCCCGTTCTTGCGCCTCCATTCCGTGCAATTGGAGAGAAAAACCGGTGCGCGCCTTCTGCTCGCTGGTGGACCGGCGTGGCCGTAGACGCTTCTAGAAGGTCCAAGGCCACCACCTCCGGGACGTGGCGGAAGACCCGGAGGAAATTGCTGC